TTTATATTTTTTGCATTAAAACTAAATAAACAGAAAATTTGTTTAAATGTTTTGTTGAAAAATTAAATAAAATAAAATAGATAAGATCTCTGCATACTCTGTTTTTTCATCTTTGCAAAATTTTAAGATATATGGAAGATTTTACAAAAGAATTGTATCTGCATCAAATAAGCTGTGAATGACTGTATTATCAAATTGAATCTTAAAGGTTATAAAACGAATTACAATTTATTATTCAATTAACTTCGGCATCACACGTGGGTTAGTTGTCCAAATTTCTATTTTTCAGACGATGCAGTAAATTTTGAAAACTTCGATTTATATACAAAACTTTTGTTTAATCCAAATAACCGTAATCCAAATGGCTGCTCAATTAAAGGCACATTTTTTGTCTCACATCAGTATACAAATTATCAATTTGTGCAAAAACTATGGAACGACGGTCACGAAATTTCTGTACACTCTGTAACGTATGTTTATATGTTCTTAAAAGCTATTATTTTAAAACAATGTAAATTTAACAGACACCGCGGTCCGGAGATGTGGTGGACAAAAAATGCCACTATTGAGGACTGGTTTGATGAAATGGTTGGTCAAGCAAACATTCTAAATCGTTTTGCGAATATACGAATGGAAGATATTAGAGGGATGCGTGTACCATTTCTTCGTATTGGCTGGAATAGACAATTTTTAATGATGAAAGAGTTTGGTTTTGTTTACGATGCTTCGATGGTGGCCCCTTTTAGTAATCCTCCACTTTGGCCTTATACCCTGGACTTTAAAATGCCTCATACGTGTACAGGCATCAATCAGAATTGCCCGTCTAGAAGTTATCCAGGCATTTGGGAGATTGTGATAAATCAGTTAGAAGTAGGTGACTTCACATGTGGTATGATAGATAGTTGCCCATCTCAATTGAATGGCGACGATGTTTATCGCATGCTAAGCCACAATTTCAAACGACATTATTTGTCAAACCGTGCTCCATTCGGAATATATTTCCACGCAACSTGGTTTAATAATAATAATTATTTGGAGGCATTTTTGGTAAAAAAACAAAATTATTGAAAGTAAAACATATAATAATAAAAAATATCTTTTTTAGCGTTTTATGGATGACATGCAAGAGCTAACGGACGTATATTTTGTTACACAACAGCAAGTTATCCAATGGATGCGACGACCCACAATTACTCCAAACTTAAATACATTTGAACCATGGGGTTGCAAACCACGCCAGTGGGAATCTAAAGAAGTAGCTTGCAGTATCCCAAATACTTGTAAACTACGAAGTCGCGTCTTGCAGCAAGATAGATATTTATATACTTGTAACGAATGCCCAATACAATATCCTTGGATACGCAATGAATTTGGTCTAGATTAGTATATCTTGTGGCTATATTGTTTACCATATTTTTATACCATGCAGATATTAAATTAAATATGAAATAATGTTTAACTTTCCTTAATTTATTTAACATTATTCATACTTTTTTATTTAAAAAAATATATATACTTTGAAGCATATTACACTTAGCTTTTATGTATGTAGCTGTTAAYAAATTTTAATTATTATGCATCTTGTGTAATAAATGGATTTGGTATGGATTCCATACCATCTTGAGGACAAATGAGCACTAATGCAGTCCCTCGGCATACAACTAAACCTAAACTACGTGTTTCTTCAACTAACTTAAATGGTTCGTCTACGTCCCTTAGATACTCTACGGTATTATCTAGGACTAAGTTAAGTAACGCATCATATCCTTTTAATATGCCTGCTGCTTCACGCCCACCAGCAAATTTAACTCGGATTTGTTTTTCCAAATATTTGGAAAGATCCAAGATGGATTCTTTGCGCCGCTTTTCCTTACCATCGTTGCTGCCGCTTGTCTACTTATTAAATATATTTATTAAAGTTGCAATTTTTTTATTTTAAAATCCAATTTACGCACCTTTGGCTTTTCTGCCATTTTATTAGGATATTGAATCAATGTGTACTTACAAAACTTAGCAGCGAGGAACATATATCATTTTTGTTTACGTGAGGTTATCTTTTACCATAATGTCAAACGAACTAATCGATTACTTGGCATCACTTTGGGGAATGTTAGATTGCTAAATATCTATATTGCTAACGGGGCATCTCGACAGGATAAAATCTATGTCTTACTAACTGTCAAATCTATTGCTATTGCCATTGCCAAATCTGTATGTGGGCATTTGTTATACTAATATAATCATTTGCGCAAAGGCGTAGGGTAGGTAGGTTCGAACTGATGCATTGAGCTCTTGAAATTTTTATTTTATCATTTGCGAAATGCCGTGGGGTAGGTAGCTGATGTAGCACACGTTTTGAGCTCTTGAACTCTTAAATTTTTTATGTGGAAAATAGAATAAAGATCCTTTTTTTACAAATGTATTTCTGGACTACTATATAATAATTGCGGCATTAATTATATATACCAATTAAAATAATAAATTTAAAATRAGCAATAATATTTTGATTTATGTCTGTATTATTAAATTAAAGACTTCGCTCATTTCCAACCCAATTTGCATCATTTTTCTGTAAATTAACGATATTAAACTAAATATTAATTTTTTGGAATAATGTTATTTTGAAAATGTACTTTATTTTTATAATACAAAAAAACCGTCTTAATACTCGCTCTTCTAAATTTCATATTACCGAATTAAAAATGACGTCAGCATATGTCCAATTGGGTTATGTTGCCTCCTCGAAATTTTCATAGAAATGAAAACTGCGCTGTCAAACTGCTGAAATGACAGCTCATAGCTTACAATATATGGCAAACTAATTAGTATTCTATGTATAGTAAGTAATGAGCCATGTCGAGTCTCCATAGGCAATATGCACGGCAATACAGTTAGTATGCTATAAATTCTATAGTATCGAGATACCCCGTTAACAAACGATAAATTTCCCGCATTATAAACACAACAGACAGAATTCCATAATACCAGAGATAATGAGATCCCCAACTCTTCTCGATCAATTGCTAAACGTTAAAACCTACCGAACTTTGACAGTTGACTGGATTGAGTAGGTATTGACGTTTTGCAATTGGAATGACTGGAACGGCCAGATTGAAATTATATCAAAAACATATGTGAACGGAGGAATTTAATGCCGCCATTCAAGATCGCTAATAAAAATTTAAAATAATGAAAATCAAAGAAAATGCGAAATTTAAATATATATTATGAAACGTTTTGTAATTTGGTGCATAATGGAATTAATTTTCTATTACAAATGATTAAAAACATTTATTTATTTAGAACTAACAGGCTTAATTCACCTTATTAAGTATTGAAATATCGAAAGCAGTTGTTTTAATATACCATAAAATCATAAAAAGGAAATAAGTAGTTTCGCCATATATTAAAAGTCCAATATATAATAATTTGCAATCGTAATAAATGTTGGGTATTTTAATTTAAAATGTCCAAAAATTCTTATTTGGTGCGATCTGGCCATAATGAATGTTATAAAAAACGCTTATTTTGAGGCGCTCTCACACTGGAATAAGTTGGGCATCCCATTATCCCTGATAATACTATGTTCGGACAGACAAGGAAAACATGTTTTCGTGGTGGGAAAATACGGTTTTCGAACGATAACTTGTTTTTTGCGTCCATGTAAAATCTGTCAAACGAAAACGGTTTTCGCTGAAAACTACTTGAAAATTTACATTCCACTCATTATAATCGGTGCCTGCTCTAGTTTAATTGATGTTTTTGAAAGACCTGTTTTGTCGGCTGTCGCTTGATATTCTCATCTTATGGGGATTCTCTTGCTCTTGCAAAACCTAACACCGTGCAGAAATTGCAGAATTTTCCCTTTGGTGCAACGGCACAACAACAAACACAAGCAGAAAATTAATTGCAATATCTGTAAAGTATGTCAGATCAAAACCCATTTATTTTCGTGCCGTCATATATCACTAGATTCTGCAATGGGTGCTCCTTGGCTTTGCATATTTCGGTATATTGTTTTTGCATTTTGTGTCATCGTGCAATCTTGCAAGAGCAAGAGAATGCCGCTTTTGATAGTTGTCAGTGAAAACCCATCGAAAACACACACTGTCGGTCCGAACAACTTRGATTCCACAACATACAAATGTGTTTTCAAAATGGTACAAAGATAGTATAACGAAAAACCGATAAGCATAATAAAACCATAGATAACTTGATAGGAGACTATTTTTTGTAACATTTGCCAATGATGCCACTGCTGAAAAATATTTGCTTGGATATTTAATAAATTATACAAAACACTAAATTAAACACTTTGAAAATACATACATATCTAAATGCTAAAATGTAAAATCATTAATTAATTTAATTTGTTTTGCCAAAATATGTTCGCACAGTTCAACGAAATTTCATTTCACACTAATTTTGTTAAGTAATTATAGCGCTGCTCTGGCATCCCGCATTTTCCATTAACTGCTGGTTGACGGCACCCTGATTGCGTTTTGTTGCCAGCTCAGAAAACAGATCAGGGTGCCCTGCCAGCCAAGAGATTCTGAACAAGTTATATATGATAAAACTATCTTTGTTCTAGCAAGTAAGCAAACATTCCCAGTAGTATAAATAGCACTAAGATTATAAAATGTAGGCAGTAAGCAATTATCATTAAAACAGGCASCACGAAAATAAGTGTACTGCCCAAAAATATAAGCACGATTCCGATTACTTTGGCGGAGGGGTAAAAAAACCGAATTTCCATAGAAATGGGGTATGTACGGATAGGAGAGCTTCTCCAGAGGAGGAACATCCAAAAATAATATAAAAATTATTAAATTAGTGCATATAATTATAAATAAATATGCACTAATAACACAAGGTATTTCTCTAACTTCCATTAAATTTATTCACGGTTTTACTCTGTATATTTAAATATACACTCTAAACATTGAAATAAGTTCACATTTCAATTTTATTTTGTAATATTTCACCTAAATTTATTAATTTAAAAATCACTTAGCAAACTTGGCGTTGCAAAGGTTAGATTGTTTACAATTATGAGGAAAACGAGCGTTGCCACATCTTAAACACCAAATATGTAGCATTCTTAACGATTTTTCTTTGTTTGTTTTTTTGCGTGATTCTTTTTTCTACATTAATTATAATAAAAAATACTTTCTAACATTTTTTAAGTTATAATTGAGTTGTGAAAACTTTCTCCACATATTATACATTTTGCATTTAGTATGTATATGCATAATATGTGATTTATATTTAATAAACACATATAATTAAAACTCTATGATAATATAGTATTGTAAAATTTATATAATATAATGTCGGGGTGACTGAAGTACTTTAAAAAAATAACCCTGGCCGAGCCAATACCCGACTGAATTACTTTCGCGTAGTACTCCTTTCTGCGTTAAAAATAAAAAAATATATTGAGTTTTTGTTATAAGGTGGTTAAAGTGGTTATATGTGTTGGTTACCATGCACTCATATTGAAATAAAATTTTAATTTTCGTTATAAAATTAATAAAATTTAGTTATTATATCTGTCAGCGATTTCCATTTATTTTTGATTATAGTACATTGTTTTGTATTTTAGGTGACGATACATCAATTTTTATATTTAAAATATGAGGTTTGGATATAAAGTGGTTATATTTGTTGGTTACCCTGCACTCATATTGAAACAAAATTTGAATTTTCGTACTGTACTAATATACTTTACACTTTATTACGTAATATTATTATATAATATTACTTATACATGTAGGAGGAAATAATATATAGAACAACATTGCAACTCAGCTGTTAATTGACGAAGCGTCCCTCAGCAGCCATCATTGTAACGGTCCATATGGATCATTCATTATTATATTAGATAGAATTCATTAGATTAGAAGATTCATTATTAATAGCAGAAACAGTCAAAAACGCAGAATCGTGGGTCGTGTCAGCGGATTCGACCTATGTTATGGGCGCGCAATGTAAGTGCCCAGTGAAAAACGCTACTCCCTTCTCTCTTTGACGTCGGCATTTTGGTTTTTGCTGTCTAAACGTGTCAGCTGATTGCTCTCTCACAACCCAGGGTTGCCAATATCTATATACTGTAGTAATTATACACTTTTATAATTAAATTTGTTCAATACGTTTGAAATTTTCTTAAAATAACTCAAAATTGGAGTCGAGTGCTATTATTTATAAATATATAAACTAATTTTAATAGTTTGTTTTCAGTTTTGATATTTTATATTATAAAAAATTGTAATTGAAAACATAGATGTGTACAGAACTATATATGCGTATTGAGCAATGGCAACATTGTGCAAATGAAAACAAACAAAGATGGATGATTTCTGCGTTTTTGCCACGTTTTTCACTGGGCACACATTTTGGTGATGAGGAAGGAAAAGGGAGGAAGGCATTAGCGTTTTTGACTGTTCCTGCTATAAAGCA